GTGTGTGTGTGTGTGTGTGTGTATGTGTGTGTTTGTGTGTGTGCATATATATATACATATATATATATATATATATATATATATAAGCTATCGCTTGCTATTCCGTAAAAGTGATACACAAAGTTTGTTCAAAAATATTTTCCAGAAAAAATATATATATTCTTGTATGTACGTGATTTCTGTTCTCTTTCTCAAATTTTTCATCTCTGTAAATCCTATTACTACTTTATATATACATAGGTGTCAGGTACGGTCGATTCCGCCAGAATTATTTTGAGTAAAAAAATCAACGACGGCGCTAGCGTGGTAGATGCGCCCAATAATTCAAACACGGTGGTAGATAGGATGAAGTCTGTGCCGAAGCGCAATACGAAACCAAAAGCCTCATCGAGTTCACTAGACCAAAAAACTAAGCACCCAGGTACCGATGATATTATGTCGAATGAGTCGAGCGCATCAACTAGGCACAGAATGGTGGAGAAGGCAGACCAGCCCATGAAACAGACGGCTGAAAGTGACACTAAACGAAACCCTCGGAAGGCAAAATCTGCACAGTATGAGATTCCGCCGTACGACAAAAAACAGATGAGTTTATCGAGAACGGCTCAGAGGAGTGAAGGACATAGTGACAGTATGGTTAAACCCGCTTTGGATACAATGAAGAGTAAAAGTACTCTAGAAACAGAGAATTCGACTCCTGCAAAAGAGATGCGGACGCCAACAGGTACTAAGAAGGATGAAGTCTCCCTCGTACCTTGGGGCATAGACATGTCGGGGATGCTGAATGACTTCAGAGATATCTGGGCTTCGCCATCCGAATTTATAGTAGAGAATCTGATGGTGGGCAAAGGAACCAGTGCTATAGAGAGCGATGAGGATGAAGGGGCTGGCAGCAGTAAAGATAAGAGAGAAAGTAGGCAGCTGGTGACCAAACAAGCTCTCACCACGCCGATTAAGAGGTTGGGGCGCGACTCCGTACTCTTGGAGAGAGAAAAGAAGGCTATGCCGTGGGATGGTATAGAATCGGACAGTGAGATGGATGGTGTGGAATCGGGCGGGCAGATAAGCGGCCAATATCAACCCACGCAGGTAAACAAGGATGGTGATGATTCATATTCTACGAATGGTAGTACTCGACCAAGGTCATCCAAAGAATATTCGAGACTGAAAAAGACAGCTAAAGATCATATAGATGGCAACGATAGCGAGGTCGGTAAGGAAGAAACGTACCGTATCCGTGACGGAGGATTATTGAGCGCAGAACAGGGCGAAAATGTGTACACGCACGGGCTCAAACAGGAGAGCGCATCGGATCTATCAGGTATGAACACATTCATGAATGGTCTATACATGGTCTCCAAGTACATACTAGACGATGAGGACGATTCCAGCAATGGTCTGCCTCGGCATGATACACACGCACTTAAGCGGGAAAGAGTACGGTCTACTGATGAGAGCTCCTCTGTAGTAAATAGTAAGCAACCTCTAGGTAAACGCTCAGGTAGCATACACACTGTGGGGGTGGAGAAGTCTGTGAGCGAGGGCTTTGATCCGCTGGGGGCTACTGTAGCTGGCCCTAGTACCGAACTTCCTAGTAGTAGTAGTAATTATGATGGACTAAGCACGTGGAGAAATCGGGTAAAGACTACTAGCAAGAGTTGTGAAACTGAAGCTGACGGAGATCAGTTAGACTCTAACCCTAGAGCCACAGGACAGAGTGCCTGGGCCAAACGACAGGCACAAAAGCATGGCGCAGATAGTAGCGGTGCACGACGTGCAACAAGAACAACTAGCAGATCATCGGAGAAAAAGGTTGGACCGCGGATAGGAGGAAATACAGATAGAAGGGGGCTCCACAATGAGCAGTTGGCACAGAAGAATATGGAGTCTGACGTAGGGTTTTACGACCAGGTGAGACTGAGACCTGATATAGAACGGAAGAAACCCAAAGAAAACGGTACCAAGGGAGTGTTGGTGCAGCAGCCTGAACACGCGCAGATACAGACCTTCATGCTGGAAAATGTGTACCGAGGGGATGGAATCAAACCGCGCCGCACCGGGGAAGTGATTGGGACGAAACGTGGCCGGGAGATCTACACAGAGGTGGCTGCAAGGCGTGGTGGAGGCCATGCTACTAAACCCGGGACTAACACGGTAAGCGTGGGCGTGGACGATCGCGAAAGTGAAAGTGAAAGTGAAAGTGGGTCAAACAGGGATGAGGACAGACAGGACCAAGGAAGTGTGGTGCAAGTGGTTGGTGCTTTGGCCTCCATACTGAGTCCAATCGATTGGTTTGCTTAGATTTTGTACATACAACTCGCATTGCTGCTCCGCCTTGATTTATTAACAAGCGTGGATATTTGTGAGCATGCGTGTTTGTGCTTTGCTGATGATTGAAAATCTAGCGATGACGTGGCGTGGGGTCCATCAGACTACAATTTAAGTAGGAGATACTTCGCCGGAAAGGTGTATCATGAACCTTCAACCACCACGATTGTGATAGACAAGACACCCTACGCGAGTCTACGGTCTCGCATTCTTTTGCGTCCGCGCCGCGATGTGCTTAATGTCTTATTCCCACGTATACTGCTACTGCGACGAGAGGCCCCTAAGGTGCTCGATTTAATAGGATTAGTTTTACACGGGCCAAGGAGGATAATCTATGATTGTAAATGCAATCGCAATCGTAGATCCGTTCATACTTCACGCGTTCATACGTGCAGTCGGGCGAGTAGGTGTTATTCCATCGGTGGTTTAATGGCACGCACACGAATGGGCACCTGACCGATCCCTTCTCTCGTGCGGGCGGATGTACTTCAAGCGAACCTTGGGGCTTGGAATTCGTCGCTACAGAGTTTGTGCGATGCGCTGAAGGACCATACATAGTCGACAGCGTGTCTCAGAAAGGTGTATGGGAATGCAAGGCTTGCAAAGCGTGGATAAACCACTAGCGTTCAGACACACGCGTGTCACTACTGGACAGTTGTTACAGCACACTAGTTTGGACTTGTGCTGTCCTCAATCATGACGTTTTAGTAGAAAGTGCTCGTGCATCGAGTGCGAAAGGAGGGCTGGCGAAGTCTGTCTGCTTTTATATACAGCAAAAAGTCAGGAAAAACGTTACGACAACTCACGTATACCGCTCCAATATTTTTCGCCTTGACACCTATGAGGTTCAGCAAATATTCTCTCAAAATGGGAGTTACAGCACAAGCCTCATGAGCATTGGGACCACTATAGTTGTGTGATCTTAGGCGTTCGTCTACACGATCGGCAACACGATTTCACCAAGTGTCATATTGCGTCGAGGAGGAAGTTATATCTGACCACCCTAGTTATTTTCAGTGCGTACTTGCACACGTTCGGCAACACCGTATCTGAATACCAGTTGACACACAAAAACAAGCGTATATTTTTCTTGGACTGACCAATCGAACTGAGAAGAGAGAGTGAGTTTGAGCAAACCTACCAAATGTTGCTGGGTATACGATACACTCTTTGTAACACCTCGAACATCTATGGATAGCGAGGTTATAGCAACGATGAGGCACGGCCGCACGGATGATGAACGTGTCGACCTTTCAAAGTTTGCAATACACAAACGTACCCACTATGTTGGCGCATGCATTCCAATAGATCTCCGCAAACGGGATAGACATACCCCGCAACCGAGCGCTGACACAGTCCTTGTCGTCTTTATTGAATACAGAGGCGAAGTATGACACTGACTATATACTACTATCTTATCAACGGGTGAGAGAAGAGAGCAGACATAATTATGCGAGTAAAATAAATCAATATTGTATTTCAATGCTTATAGGCTTCAATTCTTCGGCTTGATATTTGTGGGACAACCTTTCTTCATTCTGGTACCATTTCCTTCACATCGGATTGCCTGACTGCAGTCGTTGTTTTCGAGATAAGTATAGTAGAGCTTCTATTATTAAAGCTCGCTCCTAGTGGGCCAAAAGCTTGGATTGTAATACATCAAAAGGGCATCATCGAGGTAGGCCTGACCATATACTGTTGAAAACATCGGTACCTCGATGGCAGTAGACGAAATGCATATGTGAGATTCATGTTCTTGACGTGCGGTGATATGGTAGTCGCGCTATTTCGAAAAATGCACAGATGAAACTTTTAATCTCATGGTACAGCGTTATAAAGCTGAACAATCTGTCTGGTCGTTGCACCTTAATTATTATTGGTGTTCAGATGCTTAGAGGCGCTACTTGACCCTTGCTTAGCTTGTGCTGTAAATTTCGTGTTTACCGTCGCTGATACAGTCCAGGAAACACAGAATGAAATGTATCCCAATTTTCAGTATTTACCTCAATGTAAATTCAAACTATGATTCAGCCAGCGGAGAAATTTGGATAATTATAGCTGAGTGTATTTGTGAAGAAACCAACTGTAGAGCCTGGCCTCTGGTGGAATTTCCCGTTCGTTCTGTGGCGATAGTCATGTCCGATTCTTGTCAGACTCGTCTGCTCAACCTTGAGTTCAGTATATGAAACGTTAAATTCGCCTCCACGCCTGTAGAATTACCAAATTCTCCCAAACCAACTTTAGAGTGAACTGTAAATTGAACGAGTCTGGCATAAAAATATAGTGTTTGAGGGCCAACACTACTTTTCCCACATGCGGTCAGGTTATACACCGAAATAGATTAACAAACTGCAGGCGATTACATCTTGTGACCACAGTATGAAAGAATAGCGTACCTAAATGTGAGAAACTAAATGAATGAAATGATCCTACTCTTTATATTAGTATATGCTATTGTTGTAGCCTCAAACGAGATCAACAAACAATTACAATTCTGAAAGCAGTGAATCACGAACTCTTCCTGCACTCTCGGTAATAGAGTGCAAATGAATGAAGACCGGAAACATTCCGGATCTTTCTGGGGAGCAGGCTTATCATCGCCAGTGACGGCTAGCCGATTCCAATCAATGTACTACAAGCAAAGCTGCAATAACTAATTGTTGAAAATACTCTTCTGATGTACCTTCGTGTGATACATCAGGCCCCCTCTGCTTGTGAACTTCTTCTCGCAATTTTCCCACGTGCACGCATAGGGTTTGTGCCCAGTGTGCGTGCGTGTATGATAATCTAAGCCGGCTTTTGTGGTAAATAGCCGACCGCAATTTGTCCACGTGCAAGCAAATGGGTGGACCCCATTATGGGTGCGCATGTGCGCAACCAGACCTGTGGATGTTATGAACTTTTTGCCGCAATTTTCCCAGCGACAAGGGTAGGGGCATTCCCTTGTGTGCGTCCGAGTGTGTCGCTTCAAATGTCCACTCTCGGTGAACCGCTTGCCACATCCTTGCCAAGTGCAGTGATATGGCTTTTCGCCAGTGTGTGTACGCACATGCGCGGTTAAGCGGCTAGATGTTGTGAAGCGCTTGCCACAACCCTCCCACGTGCAGTTATACGGCGTTTCCCCAGTGTGCCTCCGCATGTGCTTCGTAAGATCACTCCGGTAGGTGAACCCTTTATCACAGTCAGTCCAGGAGCAGGCAAATGTCTTTTTCGTGGCTGTGGCGACTGTCGCGCTCTGTACGCCTGACGATGCCGAGTCACTCGCACCTACCGTCAACTCAGTGGATCGAACAGGGACTGCCAACCCAGACATGCCGGCGCTCACAATTGTAGTAAGCTCGGTCTCATTAGGCCCCGGCAAATCGCTGTTTCTTGGCTTCAAAGCGTAACTTGGTGGTGCTTCCATATACAGTCGCGCACCACCGCCCCCAGGCTGAACTGGTTGCGAAAGGGAATTGCGCCGAGGCCTACCCCTACCCCTCACTTGCCCAGCATTGTCGCCATTAATTGTATTAGCACTTGCATGTACAGCCATTTGTTTGTGCAGGTCGATGTGTTCCCGCAAAGCCAGCTCGGAGTGAAACTGAAGCTGGCAATTAGGCCACATACAAGTCATAACTGATGTACGGGCGTTGGTACTCCTCGACCCATCGTACATCAAATTGTCCTCGCGACCTGTAACAGAACCGTCGTTGACGAATCCGGAAGAGCGCTTGAGAATTACAGCGTTTTCTTGAGAACCTATAGTACGCAAACCACTATCTGGGTTCGGCGCCACGCTCACACCAGGATTCCCTGAATATCGCGCAAGATTGCCCGCGCTGTCCTGAGACACGCCGTTTTGGGGTGGCTCTCTCAATACATGCCCGTCAGTGGTGCTAGTCTGGTTGCTGCCTCCGGTTGTCGAACGCTCCTTCTGTGACATCCACTTGTATCCCTCTGCAGGGTTTAGTCGGCCAGTATCAGGCCGGCTCATCGTCTCTGAACGCAACGAATCGGCCCTGCTTAGATCCGCCGAGGATCTTTTCTTGTCAAATACGGTGTCGGGATTTACACTTCTGATCGCTGGATGACTCTGAACTGGGGTACTCAGGCCTTGGTGTGACCCAAGTGCACGACCACGTGCCTGATGAGGCGGCCGCGCCGGGTCGTCTCTGTTTCGCACATTGTACGAGTCGGACGCCACGCTTGCTACGTAAGGACGAAACCTTGCAACACTACCTTGATCCCCAGGCCCGACTTGATGAACCTTGTTTATGTCAGCGACATATGCACTCTCGTTTAGTACCGCCTTCGACATTGGCTCATTCGCGCAACATTCCATATCCTGTTTGGCAGTGGACTTAGGTAGTAGAATGCCTCGCTCATAACGTGCCCGTCTGCTGGGGCTGTAATTGGCTGCGTCTGACATAGCGTTGATGTCACTTCTATTAGAGGTGACACCCGGGCTGCCTGATAACAAAACTCGCGAGTGTTGCACTTGATAGTGTTGATCTGCAGCCCTCTGACTTCTCGCTCCTATCGAGGCTTTGGATTGTGAGCCTTCACCAGCACCCTCCACTACTACTTTACAAGTTTTGAAGTGGCCCACCTCCCAGTCTCCATTCTGTGTGATAATTGAAAGCAAACAAGGTTATGAGGAATTGTTAGAGTTAGAAGTGCGGGATGGATAGACATGATTTGACGATAGACGACTAAGCAATTCAAAGTACATTCCCTCACGTTCAAAACTGACGCATCGACGCCGACTGTTTAGCCGCAAAAAGCGACATGCTTTTGAAAACTTGTTCTGTCGCATACAGACCCGGAGGAATTCTCGAACCCTGCAGGCGAATCGCGTACATTTCCACAAGATTTGTTTCAGACTCTAGTTCGTACGCCAATTATATACAAAAGCTATAGTACTACATGCGAGACAGCGCAAATATGTGCGAGCACTTAAGGTCAATCGAGCATTGCAGCTATGGCCATCTTGTGTATAATTATAACTAGACAATAGAGTATATCAGTACTTACCAGCACTGTTATTGAATAAGCCGTCCATAAACATCACACTTATTAAGAAGTTTAAGTTTGACATGCACGTAATTCAACGTACACGGAGAAAATACTTGAACGCGATACAGTGTAGCTGTAGTCCATTCAAAAGATATTAAAAGTGCGATAAGATCAAAAAACCAGCTCGATCAATCCAAAAACCATTCCGTACCTGACACTCCCGTGTACAGAAGTATCGCTCATAGCAGTTGCACATCAGCACAGCGATTCTGTCGCAAACGACGCAGCGGGGTTCTTTCGACGAGGACATCGTGCATGTGTGGCCTTGGGCCCCTCACTAAAGCGAGAAACTGTCCGATTCTCGTGTACATGCTCCGACAGTTGTGACTTCTTAGGTCCGGAGCGTTCAACTATTCTCCGCACTCTTTAACATGGAAATCTTCTTCTTGTGTATGACTGTACGTATGAAGGAACAGTTGTCCTCTTTTGTGCAGTACAAAACAAAAGATATTTGTTGATTTTTTTTTGCTGTCCGTTGGAAGAATTCCATTTGCCTCTATCTAAAAAATAAGCAAGGCAGCGGCGAGTGACGACTGCTCACAGGTAAAAAATACCGCAGGAGAAAAAACCTTAAACCAGGTTTTCGTCATTTTGGATTGACCTGACTTTTGTATTACATTTTCTTTTTGGCTGTTGATTCAAGATTTAATTGAAAACTATATCTATATCAAGAGTACTCTTTGCGGGCTGCGGAATAGGTCAGCGTATAGAATATTATTTATTTTCACCCTTGCGGCATGAGCTCTGACATATACTTTCAAAAATGGAGATATGAGTACAAGTTATAAATACACAAGCCAGAAGAAGGGTACATTACAATGATTATGTAGGGCCTAAATTATTCCTATAGGCGTATGCTTGTCAACGTTTTTAAAAAACAAAATGACCTTCCAAGTCCCAACTATAGTACTCCCATAATAGGAATATACAGACTATTTATGCGAGGTGACTGTCACAGTGTCACTGGCCTCATTGTATCTTCGTAATTATAAAAATAATAGGTTGCTGTTTTTCTTTGTTTTTTTTATACGAAAACAAAACGAGTCTTCTGATGACTATAAAAATAAATTATAAATATCATAGCCTTATTATACCGTTATATGTATATTTAAATTTATATTTGAATTTTACATATAAATTTATGAATTTTTTTTTCAGAAAAACAAAATTAATACATATTGCAAATGGTAAATAAAAAAATCCTTAATTAAAAAAAACAAATATAGGTCTCTTTATAATATACAGTAAAATATTATATATAAAATATATAAAATCCGTTATATATTTGGGGGGGGGTTTTTTTAACATAATGATAAAATATAGCCTTCTGAAAATTATATTTAGAAGGCTATGAATAAATGATACAAGAAAATAAACTTCCCTATTCAAAACATGTTTTTTATTAGTGATCAGTCGTACCTCTTTATATGTCTAGTTCCCAAAAGGCAATGGACATATAAAGAGGTAGACATTCATGGGTCAGGTTTGCCAGGTTCAGGGACTGATATCGTATCAGATTCAGTAATCTATGTTGTTTTGCCTGGCTCGAGCGCTACAGATGCAGTTTGTTTCGAGTTGTCTGGTTTAGTCGGGGTGCCATTGTAGTACAAAAATCAGCATGATAACCTGGTGCCTGACTTGCATTCGCAGCCAGCACACTTGTGTGCTCCTGACGTTGGTTGCGTGATCGTGCATTCTTTCGCACAATAACGATCACCACTATTAGTGTCTTGCATCAGAAATTAATAAATAGTAGTGTATGTACTTAGATATTACAACCCAAGCTAAGCTAAAAATGTTGTGAATAAAACACACACCATATAAATTCCGAGGATGGGCAGACTGATGGATCGGCCCCAAAAAGGCTGTAATAGCTTGACTCACATATGGGCCGGCACAAGTAAACGCTGGACATATAATGAGGTAGACGTCTTAAATAGGTGGACATATATAGAGGTACGACTGTACTTTGAAATTTTATTCAACCAGGGTTTTTTTATAAAACATCTTATTGTTTTTTTCTTCTATTTTCATGTATAATATTTATGATAGATCGAAAAACTAAAAATATACTATTTTTAATCCAGGTTGTCCAAAGACCCCAAACCTACTATGCGAAAGGAAAATATAATTTTTAAAGAACAAACCAAATTGAGGAAACTAACAAAAGATGTGATAGTGCGTATTGTTTACTATTTACAGAATATGTTTTTTAAAAACAAAACAAAAACTTATGGTTCTATTATTTTATCCCCCCTCTAGAGAGTGCAACAAAAAAAATAAAGAAAAAGGCAACCGCAAAACTGACAGTTCATTACAAAAAGTACATCCCCAGCCACCTGGGTCGAGAGGGGCCCGGGGCCCTGCCCTCTACAGTCTACTGGGCCCAGGAGCGAGCCGTAAATGCCAATAAAAGCTCCGAAAATGGACAATATTCGAGCGTATCGTTGTAACTCCCTGAACCGATCAGCCCCGATGTGTTGATGAACCTCCAAAATATTGGATTATTAGAGGAAATGGCACTGTATTCACGATTCATTTTTTCCATAAAACCAGGACAACTTGGGCCCTCATATGAGTATATCTTGCCGACTCTGAATACAACCTATTTTTGGAGTATTAATATTTTGGCAGTTCGATTTTGATCTAAATCTCTCTCAAATAAATAAAAATCATATTTTCTACACTCCTGTTTCCCTGACCCCGACGATCTTACGTGTGCACATAATATACACACACATAATATACACACACGCAACCACTTGAATTTCACTTGCCTCTAATTACTAATACAACAGCATACAACATTGTAGCGAGCTACTCCACACTAGAGTATTGTTATGTAGGAAGAGGCATTAATAGTGTGACACGCACGAGATCAAAGACACCATGTCGAGTGAGTATGGATGGGCACTCAAGAGCTTGGATGGCGATCGCTTTAAGGAGGAAATCCTTCCAGGCGGCGAATATGACGGTGTTCACCTACAGAAGCTTGTCAAACGCAGCCCTTACAGCAAATATAAAAATCATCGAGGAATGCTGAAGTCATTACGAGGTGCTCGGGACCGAATCCTTGCCTGTAAGTTCTGAATTGATGCTTGGATTCGGATAATCTAGACGTAAGGTTTCAAGGCATGCAGTTGGTACGATAGAAGGGTATGTTAATGTAATGAATTTTCAAAGTTTGTACAGTGATAATTGTATGCTCGGTCTTTTCACAATGCCACAAATATGTTTTAGGGTTTAGGGTTTAAATATTCCATCAAACTTGGCACACTGTTACTGAACAAATATCACGAATATGTGTATGCTCATATGGCTATGCATCTCTAGTGGCTGAACCTTGCATGTCAATACCTATCACGTATACCAGCTACGAGATGAATAAATATGTCTCTGTGCTTAAGTATTGCCGATGTGTGCTGCTACAGATAGTGAATAACCCAACCAAACATGAAGCAGCGCCGTCATGTACACTATGATGCATCACGTTCTGTTTCCAGTTTTGGGCTGGGCTGTGCACGCGTGACCATGTAAATTTATTGTATGGCATATATCAATCAATTCAGGCATATGGGTGTGAAATGTCCCATAATTATTCTCAGTGTGCACTAGTCGTGCTTCGGTTGTGGCAATCTTGTCCATAAAGCTCCAGTCGTGCGTACTTGCGAGACGCGCCAAAACAAGCCAAAACGCATCAAAACGTGCCAAAACGCACCCTGGTAAGGTAATTGTTTCAGTGTTTTATCAGCAAAATATACAATTTCACTGTAAAACCCACCGTATACCCCGACTAGACATCCTACACGACAATACTGTCGGAGGAAAGCGTCGAATTTACGGTTGGACTCTTTATTAATAAGGTGTATAAATGGGCGTGTCACCGTAAAATGGCGATTTTCCGTATTTTTAGTGTCTAATAGATCGCGCCTACAGCACCTATATCAACTGGGGCTCCGATAACATCGGTAAATAAACTCTAAAGGATACCCTCACGGTGGGGTTTCGATTCTATTGCTCTCCGCTCTCCGCAAAATGACTATATATATGGCAACTAAAAGCATGTCCAATGAACACCAAACACGTGATATACGCAATAATTCAAGAGGTGTGTTTTTGAAAATTTCATATAACTCAGTTGTAGCTCACTATAAAGGTCACAATGGTGCGTGCGTGCTTATATATATCCCAAGTGTATTCTCTGACAGTATTCATTGTAGCTGTTACCACTTTGGATGTTGCTTCCTTGTTCTGACTTAAATACGATCGTTTATGCACGTCTTGTTATTTCCTACTGCAATGCCGTTGGCTACATAAGTCATACGTATACGTGCACCATTGCGACTACGGTGTGTATTTGCTCGCATTCGACAAGTCTTCATCAAACCGACTAGTGATTGGAAAGTATGATATAGAGCCCTGCCCTCCATTCACCTACCGGATTATCTCTTAAGGGTGCATTGTGTATAGGCTAGCGATGTGTGTACACGTGGGGCCATGAAGGATAATAATCTCTTCGTTGAAGTTTAGATAGTATGATATTTTTGTATGACGTGATTTGGTATTGCATATACTTGTTTATTGAGTTCATGTATACTATCGTATTGTGTGCTTGTGAAATAGTATGAATGTTGTCCTGTTAGATATGGCGCTAGAATATATGATGAGCTTATATCGAGCTGTGCTGTTCTATGTAAATCAGCCTGCAGCTAGAGGGGAGCACTACATCGACAATCTGTATATCGTTCTCTACATTTTTGTATAGTATGTAGTAGCACGTATTCAATACGGCGTACCTTAATGATGATAACATGTGCACACACACGTGATTTATTGAAATCCATATTTCTGTTTATTGAAATTTATAGTCGAATAGTTACCTAGCTGTATGTATACATTATGTATAATCACGATATAGTCGTCTGTATCCTTTATATAATGTGTTGTATCTATACATGATGCCCCTACTCTGTACAGAGCTGACTGCGCACTCATAACATCAGTGTTGCCAGAGTTGATGTAAGCCTGTCGGCCTGGTCGACCCTAAACCCTAAAACCCTAAAACAACCCATACTCATGTTTCTTGATACTATATATTATCATTTGGTGCATGTTGACATGGCAGTGTGTGTGTTTAAACTTATTTGTTTGCATGCGGGATGTCGAGAAGTTTAGGATTGTCTTGCATAAAGTTCTTCAAGTCGAGCTGGGTGAATATTGATACGCTTATCTGCGAACTGTGAATTACAAACAAAATTTGATGAGATTTGAACTCTACATGTAATAAGTGGTGTATCCTACATCAACTATATTGACTTAGCATTTATAGAAATTTAAATCGCTGGTGTATTGCATAGTTCACAGCATACAAAACCTTCGTTTACACATTCTGCAGTGAATTATTGCAACCAACACTTGAACACTTTGCAATACATATCTCACACAGGTATTATGGGAAGATCGAAAGTTGTTGTTGGATCCCGATGATATGTCAAATACGTTCGTTACGGTGGACGGAATTGATTGCAATGTTCCTGAATCCCATCCTTTTCGAGCCTCATTGATGTCTCACAAAACGAGACACGCCGCTTATAAATACGAATTAGTAATTTCAATCAGAGCTGGGGACATTTGCTTTGTCAACGGGGGGGGGGTTGAAGCAGAGACAGCTGACATCACTCTATCACGAGATTTCCTAGTTTATGTGCTTGTCGTGGGAGAGAAAATCGTTGCAGATAAGGGATATGAGGATGGCTTTGAATACTTCCCCACGCCCTTAGAAGCTACAGTTGAGAATGCGGCAGCAAACGCAATGATGAAGCGCTGGCGTGCCCGACATGAAACAGCTAACGGCAGAATGCGTAGTTTCTATATTCTCAAAAGCCCATTCCGCGCCTCCAGGTTGAAGCATTCAATATATTTTATGGCCGTTGCAATTATCGTGCAACTGTCTATTCGCAGCGGTCATTCTCTATTTGATAAGCGTTGATCTTGGACCACAGCGCAATCTGGACACAATTTCAAAGTCAGGCAATACTATACAGTACTACACGAGCGGTGACACGCGGACATTGCTGTATTCTCGTATCCTGATTCATAAATATCATGCGTACGTGTTATGCATGCTCTATTTTTCTACATTCAACTATATCATTCGAGCAGACCCATGCGTGTTGGTATCGAAGAGATGCTCACAACACACACACAGCCTCCTTAAGGCCAAGAGCGGATGACGAAAAACACATATAAATATCCTAGCCGAACATATAAAGGTATACTGCACCCATCCATTGATTGTGTATGACACACGTAATATCGACAAATAAGGCCTTGATCTGGTGATAAACCCTTGGTTCGATTTGGGTGTAATTTGGTCCCAATACAATAGCGATCAGAGGGCAGTTTTCATATTTTATTTTATTTTGGAATTTACGGCTCTCTCCAGCTGCCCTGAGCCCCCGATCCCGAATATTTTTCTATTTTATTTTACATATATGTACATAGTACATACTGTTTTTAATATATATAAAATAACACAAAACAAATATTTTATTACATCCAAATTTTTATGTTATTTAACATTTTTGAGTTGTTTTTATTTTTAACCTCAATTTTACATATTTTGTTTTCTTACAAAAATATGGTGCAAATATTTCGTTTTTTTCTATAGCCTACAGAGTCATCAGTCTACACTCCTAAATAAATAGTAGATAAATAGTATGTACTACTGCTATTTACAGCCCTGTGCCTGAGGCCTGAAGCCCTGAACACGCCATATATATTTTTAAATATAAATATTATTTTATGTTTATCTAGAAAGATAAACCTAAATTTCAGGGGGGGGAATTATTGGTGGATATTTACTTCATCTTTTTATTTCTATTTAAAATTTTAAGCCCAATTGATAGCAATCCACCATTGAAGAAGGCTATGCGTTATACTTGTATAAATATTTTCAATATTGCATAGAGCCTTATTGAACAAATATAGTAGCAAAATTGACTATTAGAAATAAAATGGGGTAGAAATAATAGCTGCAACATTCGTTATTTAGCCAATAACATCTAAGATTCATTATGAGACTATGAAGAACTAATCGGATATTGACTCGGACACATGCAATTAGACAAAGACTGATGGCATTATATATTTTTATCCGCTTCATTATTCTAATTTTTAGAAAAAACAAATTATGAAACATTTCAGATTATAGAACCTTGTTCTTATTCCTTTTTAAAAAACCCAATATTTAAATTTGTTTTTTTATATACAAATGAAGTACAGTAGGCTAAGAATTTGAAGTTTTCAACTGACAAAAACATAGCCCTCTTGTCTAATTTTCAGAAAGCTATGACTAAAATCAAAATACTCGTGACAATTACCGAATTTCGGTACTTAACGGCGGTAATTATTTTTAAATTGCCGCCGGGTCGTTTTTAACTTCGAATCGTCACTTCGAATCGTCAGACGCCGAGTCGCCGACGACGTCAGTTGAGAATTGAAGAATTTAGAGCCTTCGGCGTTCGTCACACTGACACAACTAGTCAGTCAACTACACAACAAGAGAAGTTGTAACAGTAGTAAAATACGTTGGACTTTTGAGAGCTGGCAACTTTACCCAAATATAAATATTAACAAACAGTTGATTCAGTTCACCACGAAATTCCTAATACTACCTATTTTTCTTCTAAACAAAATACAACAAAACCCTTACATTTTAGCACACAAAAGAAAAGCTGGAAGTGGGGCCATTCACCAGTCGTAGAGTGTAGACTGTAGACTCCCTGTAGTAGAGTGACTGTAGAGTGTAGACTGTAAACTCACTAAACTGTAAACTGTAAACTCTGGCAGAGTGGTAGCTTGGGACAGGTTAATGGGCCACTTGGGCCTCTCTCTACTCTCTACTCTCTCTAGAGAGAGAGTAGAGTAGTAGTAGTAGAGAGAGGGCAGAGCTTCAGAGGCTCAGAGGCCAGAGTAGTAGGCTGGCAGCCTGCAGCCCAGGTCCTGCAGGCCTTACACTCTAATTGAGGGGGACGGGGGTTGGATTGTCCTTTTTCCATATTTCGTCTCTCTCAAGTCTCAATTCTCGAGTTCTCGACTCTCGAGTCTCGACCCAAAGCTCAATGAAAACGTTCAACGTTTAATGTTTATTGGAATTTTTTTTTGCGTTGCAACGTACCCTTGTACTGGATTTTTCGCTATCAGCGCTTACATAGCGTACCTTACTTTATACATTTTCGCCAAAATACTGTAAATTGTTCCTAAATCCTAAATCCTAAAGCCAATAGTTAACCAATGTCAAAATATCAGGGCAAAAAAAATCGTGCTTGACCTGGAATCTGTCACCAGTTCACTCAAATATACTTATCCTCAATATGAAATTCAACGGATCATTTTTTTATGTTGTAACGTAAAATGTTACAAGGTTTGTTTCCAACTCTCGACTGAGTCGACTCTCAAGTCTCGACTATCGAATCTCAGTCGACAGCCAAGCTCAAAAAGTTATGGGGGTACAGAATATAAGTTTCAACTTTAATGTTAACTTTTTGATTTGTAAAAGTTATAACTTATTTAGGACAAATCAACTACAGTTTATTTGAAACTGCACTTAATAAGCTGTCCTATCGTTGAAAATTTCAGGCCACAATATTGATAATAGGCAATCAAAAGAGATTGAGCGTTTCAGTTGTGACGACTGTCACCTGAGTGACCTGGAAAATGCACCTATCATATATGAAAGTGTACTATTGAGATATAAAAGTTACAACTTTAATGTCTATAAGAGGCGTAATAAAAGTTGCAACTTTTAACGCATTGAGCTTAGGTCGACAGTCATGAGTCAAATGTCAACACTCGACACTTTCGAGACTCGAGAATGTCGAACCTTTGAGAGAGAGTCTTGACTCTCTTCAATCTTGTGACAGTCGTGACTTGTGAGTCGACACGAGAGAGTCTCGAGAAGTGAGAAATCAAGACTTGTGCGAGAGTGTTGAACTTTTTTATTTTTACTTTTGGTCTCGTTAAGCCTCGCGAGTCACGGGCTCACGACTCACGACTCGCGACTTCGCAAGTCGTCACTCTCGACTCTCATTACCACTGTCCTCCACCCCAGCCAGAGAGTCTGACTCTCCAGTCTCGAGTCTGGACTCTGGAGTCTTGAGTGTTGACTCTTTTTTTTTTTTAAACTCACGAGTTCCGAGTTTCAAGTTTCATCTCCCGATTATTTTCGTTTGAGTCTTATATTGTTTTTCTAAAACAACAGAAATCTGCACGAATAAAATACCATCGTTTGTTTAAAATTTTAAAAGAATTACATCAGGATTATTTTGTTGAAAAAAGGAAAAGAAGAAAGTGAGAAACCCTTTCAAAACGGCCACGAACGACTCTCTCTAGTAGAACAGATAACATATTTCATTTTATTTCAACGGGTTCGACACATTCCAGTCCACACCACACAATAGTAATCAACGACGGTCCCAGAGTCCCAGAGTGATCCAGTCGACGTTGTGAGGTTGTGAGTTGTGATTTCTGTGAGCCTATGGGTTGTAGCCTGTCAGCTGTGACTATTTTAATCAAAGAATGTAACAGAACTAAATTATAAACATGACCCAATAAAATCTATTATAATTGTACTATTTCTTATAGAATGCCTATTAAGTTGATACTAGCTCTACACTGTCAACATTCTACAAAGTCTTTTCTTCCCCTCTATAAAACTATTTTCTTTATATTGTTGTTAAAAAATATTAACAAATATACTTTGACTTTACTTTTCAAAAACAACCGATAAAAAGGTGTTAAATATTTTTTAATGGCCCTCTGTATTTCAATATTGGGTCCCGAGAATGTTTTTTCGATTGTTGTAAGGTGCACACTGCACAGCAGTAAGAACAAGGTGCTTGCCAGGGCAAGCAAAAGTCCATCGTACATAAATACCTCTCTAGTATTTAGTGTAAACATGGGGCCGCCAGGCGCCATGTGTCCAAAATGTATAATAATAAAATGGAAACTCATCGGTTTTGCCATTATTATGATCTGCCAAAAGCCTCCTTTCATTTTGGAAAAATTTGAACAGCTATATAGTTTTGAAAATATTTAGTGTTGAAAAACAGGGTGAACGACCGGTTTCCTACTGCTGTGGCCGGTGCACCATAGAATGTAGTACGAAACCTGATTTTCTTATACCTCTATATATAAAATTTCGCTCTCTGCTAAAAAATATTGAGTCTCGAGTCGCCCTCTCTCTCTAGAGAGAGAGTAGACTCTCTCTACTCGTGCCTAAATATACTCTTCTAAAATTAAAAACTTGCGAATTAAATAGAAAAGTTGATATATGGCTATTTTACGTTTTTCCACTAATTGTAGGGCATTTTCAAGTTCCCATTATCGCGGTGTCTTTTTGTCGTATTGTGTCAAGTGAAAGTCCTAAAGCTAGAAACTAATCAAGACGAAGCGCGCCCAATTTAAATTAGGCGCGTATGAAATCCTGGTTCACAACCAACCGATAGGTTCACAAACCGTCAATCACTTCAATAACACACAGCAATAATATTCGTCGATTTTGTGTGTTTTTGAGCGTTTATGAGCGTTTATGAGCGTGCTTTTGCGTGTATAAAAAACCCCATATATAGTGGTAAATCTCACTGATTCGGGCAATATGATGGCAGTTATGGGGAAATAATGCAGGGGTACCTCACCCAGACTCTACTAGGAAAGGATCTCGTGTAGTCTACACAGAAAGGTAGTTTGAAACTTTCGAACGTACATCCGGGTCAAAATATGTATTGGTGTATGGAAATAATGATCAGCTGCACATATAGCTGAAAGAATTAAGTGTCATAAACACACATCTAGATAGATTGTATATTATATAGAATACAATGTACTTACATATAGAACAGGACATATAATTATTTTTATAATATCTAACATGATACATCTATTTCGACGTAGTTAATAGACACAGACAAAAGATAAACAAACACACACACCACACACACATA